AAACATTACTCGCTAGCATAACTGAGCTCTCTAAAGTGCTTTCCACTTGTAATAGACTGCATTCCAAGACAATCAGTCACTCCCCCCCCCCCCCCCCCCAAAAAAAAAAACTTGGAACTTGCGGCTGCAAGGAGAAAATGAAAAATTCTATATTTTTGTTATTTATGTACACCTAATATAATTGTCTTCCATTTCACTTACTGTAATCATTATTTTAAGTAAATGCACATATCTGAGTTGGCATTTTTTTCGGAAAGGGGAGTGGTTCTCAAAATTATGAAACACCTAACATTTGGATGACTGGACACTTTTTTCACTTTCCCTTTGAATTTGTTTCCATAATTGCAAATCTCTAATGAAACGAATATTATATGATGACACATTCTTTCTAGTTTAGGGACAGGTTTCTGAAAACTTTTCCAACTTTTAACGAGCTCCCAAAAACTCCCATTCATTTTTTATTGTCTAAATACCAGATCTCTTGATCTTGGACAGTCTAATAGGGGTCGAAATGAAAAGACCCTCTTAAGTATGTGCTCAAGTTTCACACTTTCTTGTAACCAGGAACTTTCTGGCCTGTCACCAGACGAAATGTTTGAGGTTGACGTCTTTTGTATTTACATATATTTCTACTAAGTAGAAAGTACATCACTTGATTTTATTTTTAGGTTTTGATTTTTTGTTCCTTTATTCTGTAAGTTCAGCACAGTTTTTCTAAAAAAAACTATTCAGCGGAATAATCAGTATTTTGCTAATTAGCCAAATTCTGGGCAACGAGTTATTCCAAGATAATGATATTTTTGGAAACCACAGAAAATATTTGTGGAGAAAAGCCCTTCGAAAATTTTGTGTTACTTTTTCGCAATCAAGTAATCCTTCTAATAAACATTTAGGATGATTTTCGGAGCTATCATAAAAATTTTCTCTCGAACAAGGAAGCCCAAAAAGATGTGGAATTCCCCCCTTCCTGAATTTTTTCAGTGCCATTGGTAGCCTGGAAATTTCCTTAAAAAGTGCCTCAATTTTTCTTCGTTACACGTTCTTATCTTTACCGAATCTTGAGATTTTCAATCTTTGCGTCACAAAGTGAATTCACAAGAAGTTTGGACGAATTTTCTGGAGCGTAAAACTTCTGCAAGAACATCGTATCGGAGGTTTCGGTTGTAAATGGAGTTTTGATTAAGAAACTGGTTTGTGTTAAACGAAAACGCATTATGTTCTGCTGCGGGGGTTTTTTCTGGGGTTCAAGCGAAATTCGGGGAAGATTTGTAGTGTGAGTTTTCTGTCGCGGCGGTCATTTTTTGTCAAGTTTCCGGACGAGTTTTCGAGTTTCACCGAAAATAATAAATTGAAATTCTTTCAGTATTCAAGCAATGACCCAAATTCGCATTATATTAACGAAGAGTTGATTTCGAGTTTTACAGGACGAGTTTCGAATTTTTTATATCTTCTGCTTGATGGATCTGCCCCCCCCCCTCCCTATCCGATCTTCCTCCTCCGAACTATCGCGCACGTCGGCGACTCCAAAAAAAATTTTTTTTGAAGAAATTAGGCCAACCCAACCCCGCCCCTATTCTCACCTCTCTACCTTGCACATTCCCACACAAATATTACCCATCCCAAAGCATTCTCTCAAACCCTATTTGTCCCCCCCTCCCTTCAAACGCTCCCTAGTCGACCTTGAGGACCTAGTCCTCGAGAAATACGGTATCGATTTCTGCCCCCGTTCTTGTCGGTCGTCGGGGGCGGCCCCTCTTTCAAGGTTTTTCTCGTATGTTCCGCGTGTTACGTCGCAGCTATGTTCACGTCTCTAGCACCTGGTCGTCAGCAAGGTCTACTATTCTTTGCATTCTCTCCCCTCCCCCCCTCCCCCCCCCCCCCCCGCATATGGGTTCCGCCTAGTCAGACATTTTAGTATTCTTCCCAGCTTCCTGTGCGCCCGAACTTCACCTAAATATTGGTTTTATGCGTAGATTTCGCCGATTTCGACCATTCGGACCATCAATGTGGCTATACTCCATTCTCAAGGGTCATCTACTTGAATCAACACCCGCACACACACACAAGGGACGGGGGTCGTGACGCGTGCTGTGACCAAATACAATGCAACACAACTAGTTGAGATGGTCACCGTCGCACCCCCTGCTCAACATTACACGCGCCTCTCCTCTAACTTTTGTTCACAACTTTTTGATTGATTTAGATAGACGTTTTAGCTAATTGTTACTGACCCTATATAAGGTAAAATGTGGTTGAAAACCACTTCTGATTGACGGTAAGCTTAATGCTTCACGTACAATACAGTTTGCTCAAGTTTACCATATCTTCCTCACTTTTTACAAGGCATTAGACATAACTGTTAAGTAGCTGGAAATCTTTTTTTAAATAAGATTTTGTAGTTTGCTTCATCCAATTTTATTTTTTTACGCTGGTTACAAAAAAATTTTGACGAGGGAGAAACAGTACTTTGCTAATTAATGAGTCATAGACGCTTTTTACTTTGATAAAATTCTTCAAACTGAGTAAACGCTTGGAAAATTGCGTTTAGCGAGGTTAATTTTTCTTAAGCAAAAAAGTTAATCTATGTAATTCTTGAAAACAAAAACCTATTCTTTGCAATGTTGTTTACATTCACCTCCTTGTTAATACTGTTGACAGTTAGCTACTACACATAAAAAAATCTTTTTAAACTATAAAACAACTTTATCAAGCTTACGAAAAATTAGACCAAAAAGCTGAGAAAAAAGCTAGATCAAAAACTAAATTGTAGAATTTTTTTCTATTATTTTGCAATTTATGGGACTGCCACGCCCCTTTTTTGCAAAATCTGGAATGCCAATAAGCTTGCGAATATCTCTCACAGCATTTTAACATATTATTTGGAGAACGCGGCTAATACTAAACCCCTTCACTTACAAAAATGTCTGTCGCCCCCCCCCCCCTTCTCTTCCCCTCCTTTGTAGGTTTATTTATTTTCATCACTTGCAAATGTTTAGCTATATGTTTACTTACTTCTCAAGTAATGTACCATGATGATTTTCAACGGGGTAAAATAAGTGAGCTGATCCCGCGCCTAAATTATTTTTTTATTGGCATTCGTTCTACTGTTCCCATATGTTAAAAAAGACCAAATATCTTTCGCAAACTTACATTGTGATGTCATTTTCGAAAGGTGTAAGATGAACTCCTGAAAATGTCAGCACCTTTCAATTGCCCTATTTGGAAAAACTTTGTGATTTGATGACTTAGCCAAACACTGTCGTTTACAGTCACTACAAAAGCGATGAAAAATTAATGCCATCTTTTTCAACATCTTTGACGAATACGCTACAAATCATAATGACACCTTTGTCTTTCAGCCCGCGATGAAAGGGCAAAAGACAGAGCCGAAATATCGAGCTACACATCAAACAAATTTTTTTAACGGGTGTGAGAGGTTATAAACTCTCCCAACGCAAACTTTGTCTGCTTCACTGCATGTTGGCAGTACAGTGCTATTAACATTAGCAAGATTTTCTGTGTGACACCTATAGTGTTACTACGTCGCCAGGTTTTCCCTGTAGGACCCATCATGTTGCCACCTTCAGCGGACAGTTTTCTATCTACGACCCATCATGTTGTCATGACCAGGCTAGATTTTCGGTGAGGATACATTATGTGCCACCACGAATAATCAGATTTTCCATGTCGGACACCCTGCGTTGCCACCATCAGCAGATCCGGTGTGACCCATCATCAGCTTTTCAATGTGGTACCCTTTTATGTTGCCACCAATAGCCAGGTTTTCGCTACAGGACCAATCATCCATTTGACCTTCAGTGGAAATATCAAGATAGCCAGATTTTCCCCCTGGGACCCATCATATTATCACTAGCCCCTTTTCGCTATAGGACCAATCATCCATTTGACGCTCAGTAGTAGAAATATCAGGATAGCTAGATTTTCCCACTGGGACCCATCATGTTACCACAACCAACCAGGTTTTCCACCTGGGACCATTTTCCGTATGCTATGCAGAGGTACGAATGTAAGTGTAGGCTTACAGTATTACTTTTTATAGCCTTTAAGTATGACAAACTCTGTAACTCATCTCTTCTGTCCACGCTCTTGAACTCGCTTCTGCTAGGAACAGGTTTGCCACTTCTCTACCCACTTTTCTCTCTAACACTGCAGCTAACACAAACATTAAAACTTTTCGAAAAAAACGCGCATCGTCGCATTGTCGAAACATTGCTTGAATGCAAAGAGAGAGCTACTCTTCTTGCGCTATTCGCTGAACTATCAAACTTGTTGGGGAAAGAAAATGTTCTGTGCTTGATGTCTGAGGCGAAAACGAGACCATTTAAGGGCTCTCGTCCCGACATTGTTCATCGTCATGTTCCTTTTACAGCTCGTTTAATGCTGTCCTGGATTGCCTTCGTTGATGGGAGCGACGTTGGTAAAAAAAAAGCTCTTCTACGTGTAGAAATATACACTCAGCTATACCATCACATCATCACGGAGTCCGGCGCAGAAGAAAAAAACTGTGACAACTCGTCCGCGTGCATCCATCGTCCTCTGTCACAAAGTCGCTGAGTCAGCTATTGCCTTAGTTGAAGTTTCGAATTACAGTAATCTATAATCTTGAACATCAATGATCCCCAAGATCATTTGCTTGTTTCTATATGAAACTCCAAACAAAGACAAGGCCGTCTGCTCGCCGTGTATATTACCCTCGACCTCGGCAAATCTTTACCGCGGGGTCGTTTCTGTTCGCCCCCTCGCCCCCCCCTACCTCCACCTACCTGTTTGGCCAATTTCAAACACTAACACAACCTAAGATTCTTCTCTTCGTCTTTGTTTTTCTGTCAGCGGGGGGCGAGCGTCTCTCTCATCTCCCAGTTCTCAGTATTCGAGCGCTCCTCTACCAACCAGTCCTATCATCTTATTCAACGCATTACGTGTGCCTCGTTTAATTAATCGAATTTTCTAGAATTTTCCAGATTTATATATTGTTTTTATTATAGATGACAAAATTAGGAGTGCACGAAAGCCCCGAAGAGAAGGAGAAAGAGAAGGAAGCCGGTGACGCCGTTAAGGTCGATCCTAAGGTGAGGAAGGATTCAATCTTTTTGAACCCTAGATACCAATGATCTTAACCAATCCATATTAACTGTATGATACGGTAACGATATGGTAATGTGCATGTCATGAACATCAAGGTTTCAAGCCCAAGCTCAACTTGGCATTGTTTGAATGATCTTATGCTAACCCCCTCCCCCCTCTTTTTTTACTAAGTATCACAAAATCAATGAGAAGTGGACTATATCTGAAATTTTTCGGTTGGGTATGGAAGAGAGAAGGGAAAGAAGGGGGGGGGGGGAGGGGAGAGTGAGGTGAAGAAGTGACTACAATTAATCGAGCTTACAGAAAGATCGTGATTACTAGTGCGCCAGTAATCTTGATCATTTTAAGTAAGGTGCTAGATTTGCAGCAGCGTTCGCTGCGGGAGTCGCGCGGTTTTCCGCAATTTTACCTTTTTTTAGGCACAACGATTTTTTATACATAAGTTATTGTTTTCAATAGGATGCACCAAAGTAAGATTACTGTAGATACACTTGGCGAGGCCCATCACAAAAACCTTAGAGTATGTCACTTTCCTAATTCTGAGAGTGCACACCATGCGGGCCATCCCACGACTCTTTTTCTATAAATTAACAATAGAATTTTCATAAGACATGCTAGAAAATAATAATTCATACTTACTGCACGTTCTAATTTTGGAAAAAAATGGAACAAAATTTTTTTCGAGAAAGTTGCTGCTTCCTGCTGCCAAGTTGTTGAGTTGCGCGCGTGTTGTGCATTGCACACACTGCATTATAATGGCTCGACTGTATAAATTTAAAAACCGAGTAAAACAATCATCTGTGTGCTTAAGATTGCAGATGGACATAACGGAAAACCCAAAAAATTTGGAAAAAAGTTTTTTGCGCTTCATGCTCCTACTGTGTACAAACAAAACAACACAACAAGAATCGATGCGATCAGCCATTGAAGTGGTATTGTACTAGGTGGTATTGAATTACAAGCAAATACTTTCTATATTGACATTGTATACAACCCGATATACAACCGGAACGTCACGGGGAGCGCGAAAACATATGCGTGGTTTTTTTGCAGAGCGGGGGGGGGGGGGAGGGAGGATAAGAGAGTCAACTACGATTAGCAAATTTTCCGTGGCACATTGGCGAAGTGCTGGTGTAAAGCGTTGAGTAAATGAAAACTAATATTATACCAGCGAAACCAGTTTGCGTTCCTGAAAAGAAAAACTTAGAGTCATGTTTGCCGAGCGCAGGCTTGCAAAATTATCCCTCTTTTATGATCAGAAGCCTAAGATGAAGTTTGATCTTCTAATGCTCACCTAAAAATCAATGAAACATTTTTCCAGGTCTTCACCGTGCTTCAGCCCACGGTGATTCCACTTCCTGCTCAACCACCTGCACCACCACGACGATCCATCATTGGTTTCCTGATTCGTGGATTGCTGCTCTTCCTTCTATTCATCGCATGCATCACAGCTCTTCTAGTGTTCATCTATGGAGTTGACACCGTCTATTCGGGTGTTACCGGGGTAAGGGTGGGTTTTTTGGAATTTTCAGGAAGTAGCGGTTAGAATGGCATGACAGAGCGCGCATGGTCTGCACCTAAACATGTTACAGAAGTTTCGCGGGCCTTTGGAAAGCTTCGCTATGCGCCTGCGAAACTCCTTCCAAACATCCTCGGAACTTCCCCAAACAACCTGCGCATTTTCCCAGGCGGCTCCTACGAAACTTTCCTTGACTTCGTGCGCAACATCTTACCAAACGCCCTGCGTTGCGTACTATCCATGAACGTTTTGCGAATTTCCACAAACATCATGGAATAATCCCCGTAGTCCTGCAAAACTTTCCTAATCTCCTGTGAGAATTGCACAAGCCTTCCCAGAACTTCCTCTGACGTTTTGCAGAACTTTCCTAGAATTCCTGCGGATCTTCCCAAAGGTGTTGCGTAATCCCCACGCAGCTCCTGCGCAACATCCATGAGTCCCACGAAATGCTGAATATCCTGCGGAACTTCCGCAAAGGTTCTGCAGAACTTTACCGAAGCTACCGCGGAACTTTCTCAGACGCCGTGTTTAACTTTCACAGTCGTCCTTTGAAACTTTTAATATTCCTGCGCTACTTTATACCGAGTCCTCTGTTTTTTTTTATGTTTGCGGAATTTCCCGAATGTCTTGCGTACCCCCATACCGTATTCCGTCAGCTGACTAAATACGGACCATGCGTCCTCCGTCCTACCAGATGAAGTGCTGCGGAAAATCCTGTCCAATTGCTATGATGTCATTTTCCTGCGGAAATTAATTTGAGCACTTGCCCTGTGTCAGCGCATTTTTTTTTGTACTGCGAAAGTTACAATGAGTTTTCTGTGTAGTTATCTGATTGATGGGTAATTAGTTATCTTTAGCGAATCTTGCGCTGTTCGGCGAAGCGTTGCGAATTTCTACCGTAAACCCCGTAATAGTCAGTGCGGGGGCGAGAGAACACACTTAGATTATTTGTAATAGTGACGTTAGAACCTGTTCATTCGCTGAGCAGCGCAGATTGGGGCCTTTGCCGATGCTGCAAAATGTTCCCTAGCGATATCGTCATTGATTTAGGGAACAACAACTCGAATGACTTACTGGGCTTAGAAGAAGGGTCACAGACCTCAGATGTTCGTAAAACCCAAGGTTCTTCCTTTTCAGACCGATGATTCAACAACAACCGTTGCACCCCAACCACTCGGCTTGGTAAACCCTATGGGAATGAACCAGAAGGCTGATGAGAACACTCAGAATGATGGGGTGAGGATAAGATTTGTCCTAATTATAGGAAAAATGGGAAAATAAGCAAAATGATTTGTCAGATAGGAAGTATTATCATTCATCACTCGATCGGAATTTGGGCTTATAAAAAGGAAAAAGAAGTAAGAAGTAAAATTTGGATTGAGATACAGTGTTTAATAGAAAAAGTTATTAAAGATTATGGTAGAAGTATGAAACAAAGAGATCAATGGAGACTCTGATTAGATTCTAGTATTTATAGCTTGAATCAAAAAAGGGGGAATAAAGCACAAAATGAAAGAAAAAGAGGAATCAAGGATGGCATGGTTTTCTGGTGAAAAATGAATGTAAATGAATGAAGGAAAAACTCAATAAATGAATAGCGAGATGTTGATTGAGAGTAGTTCTAATGTAAGACAAATTTATGAAAAATTTTATTAGTTATAGAAGTTTCAAGTCGATTGGTAAGAATCAGTTGATGATTTGAAATAGAAAAAAATAAGATGCTCGCGCAAAAAAAAAGAATTTGCTTCTATGCATTGAAATCATTTTCACCAAATTGAAATTGGCTAAAATAAACAAATAATCGTGTGATTTACCTTTTTGACGCCTTTTCATGTTGGAAGGGGAATAGGGTGTAAACTGTGCAATCGCACCAAAAGGAGCCCATTTCATTCCTTTGATAAGGCTGCCGTATTATATTCAAGAAGTCTATATCCGAATGATGGGCCTATAAGTCTCAATTTTGATACTGTCAAAATAATTCACAGAACAATTTACATTGCTTTCACACTTTTTCCTCATGAAAAAAGTTGCTTAGGATTTTTACCATCAACTTCGTAGAAAATGTTTTTTTGCTGGTTTAGGAGGTCAAGGTCTACCTCAATGCTGTTCCTGTCGCAAAATTGGTGGTTGTAGAGGGTGGAAGTACTAGTAGTGAAGAGGCTAAAGATAATGAAACGAACGAACGACCAGTGCATCCTTATGAAGCACAGGAGGTGAAAAAATAATTGAATTTTGGCCTAAAATGCTGGGTTTTTGGTTTCGCTTGTAGATTAGTGTTAGGAAATAGAATAGATTAATGGTAGAAAATAGAGAAGCTTTTTGGTGGCTTATGCTCATTTATATGGATTAGTTAATGTTTAATCTCGAAATCGAAAAAAAAGAATTTTTCAGATGCAGTTTGCGCAGTTCAGAGGACCTGTCATGAATGTTCCACCACCAATGCTCGCACTGCAAGCAAGACAAATGGCTTACGCTCAGGTATAACATTCTTATATTTTTTGAATTTTAAAAAGTGTTTTGAAGAAGAATCCCCGCCGAAGAGGGGTGGGAAAAGCGTTGCAATGGCAAGCCCCGCCCCTTCTCAAAAAATTGCGATCTTTGCAGTCCAGAGCAGAAAAATGGCTTCGGGGGTGTTTGAGGAGATTTTTGAACTGAAATAAACCTTACAGGCTGTGCGACAATGGAGAATGCGCCGGCTACAGCAAGCCATCTATGAGCAGCAAATGCTCCGTGAAGCCATGGCTCGTGCCGAATGGGTAAGCAGCACCTAGACTTTGGTTGGAGGACGTTATGCTGCTGAAGGGCTCCGCTAACGCGGAAATCTGCCACTAATCGTGCATAACTGCGCGTTATAGTCTGGGCCAGTTGTCCGCGCAGGTGGAGCCTGTTGGCGACATGACGTCCTATATCTGAAATTTCCAAGTTGGGATGTACCTCCAAAAATCCCACAAACAATCAAGAACTTTAGATTACCCCAGCCGAATTGCAGATGGAAAATCAGCGACGAGCTGCTGCTGAGGAAGAACTTGCCCGCAACATCGCTCAAGCTCGCTGGGAACAAACACAACGTGCCCGAGCCGCTGAAGAATACCAGGCCGAGATGCAACGCGCCCAATGGGCACAGGCCCAGCGCGCCATGTGGGAACGCGCCCAGATGATGCAAATGCACCAACAGATGCATAACTTCATGCATGGACCACATGGGCCAATGATGATGTACTGGCAACATCCGTGGTACATCCTACAACAGCAGAAACAGCAACAGATGCAGCAGCAACAGCAACAGCAGCAGGCGCAGCAACAACAGCAGCAACAGCAGCAAGCGCAACAACCGCAACAACCACAGCAGCAGCCACAACAACAACAAGTAAGCCTTACAATCTTGAAAAGCCCTGGTACCAAGTCTGACTTGCCCCAACTCTGCGCCAAAATCCTGAACCGTTTTCCAGTTCTTCTACCAACAACCACAATACCAGCAGCAGTGGTACTATTACCCACAGCAGCAGCAGTTTTACCAGCAACAGCAACAAGCACAGCAGTTCTATCAGAATCAGGTTAGTTATTTTCGCTGTTGCTCCTGCCGTGAAGTCTCTAAACAACATGCAGTACGGCAAATATTTTGTAGCAACCATGGGTAAATAACCAGCAACAGCAACAACAGCAACCACAACAGCAACAACCACAGCAACAGGCAACAGTGGTGAGTTCGTCAAAATGAGAAGATGACAAATTTTTGAAAGAAACAATTTGCAGATAATTCCACAAAGAGAATGGGCAATCCCACGCATCGCTCCTCAACAACAAGAGCCTCAGGTAAGAATTTTTTGAATAAAAAACGTTGAAAGCGCAGTGAAGCAGAGTCACGGACTACGCTGCGTCTCTAAATTAGCATTACCGTATGTATAGCGAAAGGTTCAGATCCCTATGCGACCTCATGATGCCTCACCGGCTCAGATTCTTTCGATGCAGCAGCCTACCGTCCCTCCAGCACCCGAGATGGGCTTGCACGATAAGATCTACCAGGAGATGCAGGTAAGAGAGGAATTCCATATCTAGGATGCGTCTGGAGTTGCACACGCCAGCGCCGTGCTGGAACGCTTATCGATCAATACAGGACGCCCCACTTGGGTCCCAGCACGGCATTAGCTGGCACAGTGCTGGCACGCCGGCACCCAGACAGCTCTATGCACAGCTTACTATACTTTTTCAAATAAACTTTGTTTCAGAAGAAATCCCAAGGAATGGAATTCAACGTCCCAAGCAGACCAATCTGTAAGTGACCCTCCCGAAAGTGTAGACCATGTAAATCAACCTTTTTTTTAAGGGACCGCTATCACCCCCACTCCAGAGACTCCTGGAAACTATGACCATGATGCCATCTTCCAGGAGAACCTCCGCAAAATCCAGGAGATGCAGACTACCACCATTGCTCCAATGAGCCCCTCCACTGAGAAAGTGGCTGAAATCAAGCAGGTTATAGTAACTGTAGTTTTTTAATGTGTAGAAAATTCCACAGTATTTTCAGGTTGAGAGTGACAATGTTTTTCGTGATATTCTCTCCGTCTTCGACGACGCTGAGAAGAAGGAAGAGCCTGTGGTAAGGGTCATACCAAGGCTGTGCCCAAAGTTAACCGTGCCAGCGCTGTGCCAGAGCGCGGATTGATCAATACGGGGCGGTCCCCGTGGGTATGCTGGCACAACGCCGGCATGCGGACAACTTTGGACGTTTGCCTATAAACATCCTATCTTTGACTTAGTAAATTTTCCTTTTTTAGACCACCACTACTGAAAACGTATTCAAGGCGTTTTCTGACGACAAATCTACTGAGGTAATGATTTCCTGTTCAAAAATCTTTGGGACCATATGACATCAGATGTGACAGACCACCGTTTAGGCGCCAAAACTCATCAAGGAACCAGCCAGTGAAGTCGTCGATAGCGCTGCTCAGGTATAAATTACTGCGTTTATTAAATAGTGGGTAGTGAAAAACGAGTATTGGAAGGATAAGAAGAATAGAAGAGAGGAATGAGTGGAGTTGGTGGTGGAACGTTTGTTTCCATTTTTGAGGAAAGTGTTCGTCTGGCTGTATTCATAGTCGCTCACGCCAGCGCCGTTCTAGCGCCGTGCAAGAACTGTGCCGCGAATTCGATCGATAATGCACGCTTCAAATCCTTGCGGCACATTACCATCAGGGCGTTGGAGTGGCACTGGATCCGCGTTGGCGTCGAAGCTGTGCCAGCGCAAGGCAACTATGGACGCAGTCTTTTTGCATGATCCTTTTAATATACCAAGAAATAGACTTTCGCAAAAAAGTTCCCTCTAGCAAATCTTGCGCATACCAAATCAGATTGTAAGAAAATACAAAATTAAGCTTCAAGGATCACTTTCAGGTGGAAACCTCAACTGAGACCGTCTTCAAACCTGCAGAAATTCCCAAACCTGAGGAGAACATCTTCAAAATTGTCGAAGAGGCAAAGCCTGAAATGAACATCTTCAAACAGGTTGATCAGGCAAAGCCTGAGGAAATTCATGTATGTTACATACATATCCCAGTAGAATTGACTATTGAAGTGCTCGTGCGTGTTGCGACAACATTTGCGCGTGAAAAATGGCAATGTACGCCCTGTGACCAGTTTTCGCAGTTCGCCAGCAATTTGAACAGCATGTATATTTGTTCCGCATAAATGTTGTCGTCACCGCAGGAACACTACTACTCATCAAATCTGCTAGCCTATGCCTTCTATGATGAATTTAAAACAAAATTATTTTTCCAGGTTCCCGATCCAGATGAGGATGAAGGACCACCCGGACCAGTTGTCGTTGAGGATAGATTTCCTCGTATTGAAGACAGAACAACCGTCCCAGTAGAGGCATCGACTGCCGCGCCACAGGAGCAGGAAACTGACGAGGACATGGAGCACGATCCTTTGGCTGCTTTTTTGAGGTAGGGCTACAAAATAATACAAAATAAAAGTGGTATCGAGGCTATGGTCGAAATGAATTCCTGGATGATTTTTAGTTCCAGATATTTCGAACAGGAGGCTCAGAAGATCAATGAAGCTCGAGGAAAGCCAGCAGTTGTAGACAGCGAGGTCCGCAAGGAGGACATGAAGGCGGTAAAAATCGACCGCTCTACTGTTTGTTTCAATCGTAGTGTCCCTGTCCACATCCGTGTGCTCAGGCGCGGCTTTTCATGCGAGTGGCTTGAGCACTCGACCTGGCCTCATCGATTGAATCAGTTAGGCTCTCGTGTTGCGGTTGTTAGGGACACTGCAATTGAGACAGACTGTACTTCTTTTCCCCCACTGAAGCTAATCAAAACTATTTCAGGACCAACCAGCAGCTGTTGACGAACCCGAACCAAATTTCGAGATGCAACAACCACAAATTCCTCCTAGACTCATTACTGTTTAAATTGTGCTCGAAATAACAATATTTATCCAAAGTAGTGCTTTTCTCTTTCCTATTTTACGACAATTATGCGAGAATTCGGTTCGATTAATGGTTTTAAGACTAGAACTCGTCATGTGCGCCTTAAATCACGTATACTGTTATCTGGACATTTTCGCCTTCATCATCGGTTAATCTAATGAATCTTCTGCATCTTCGCCAAGTGTTATTGTGCTACACGTTCGTCCTAATGTGATATTAGAGATACATCCCGTTGATCATGTATAGTTCCACTGACAGGTTGTAAATAAACAGTTGATTATTGTGGGTCAATATTCTGTTCTGTTATAAAATTATACTGCGTTCCGTAGTTTTCCCAGTCTTAAGGATTACTGTACTGTTACGCTAGACCCATCACCTAGGTCCGGGACAATTGGCCATATGAACCATACACTAGGAGGCATATGTAAGGTTTATTGTAGCAGTAATAGAAGCATGGCACACACAAGCGGATATAGATAGGCGGCTACAAGCGATAAGATTAAACAATCTACTGGCTAACTGCTTGGCATCGAGAAATCCTTGCGGTGGCTCCTCCTCCAAGTCGAGTCGTAAATCTTCGGCGGCGGCTCTGTTTGCCGTCGCTTTTCCTACAGTTTTTTTATAGTTTAATAGCTGGTACGGGCTTCGCTCAGCCCTGTCAATACACCACAATAAAATAATTCACCATCCCTATTTTCGTACACCATTTGCCTGCCCCGGTTCCACCTCTATATGCCAGTACCCTGCCTCCATTATGATTTTGTAATCAGCATGCTAACTCACCCCGTGCCAACTTCCAGCTCCGTAGCTCAAACTTAGCAAAAATGTCGCTGAAATCGATAGAAGGGACCGATAGTATTCAAAACAAAGACTGTATTCGTAATCAATTTGCTTACCTACCACCCTGAACTAAGTATTAGCCCCGTAGCGCCAAGTTTGCGCGATAAAATCGATAAGATAATTGATAATTTTGAAAGTAATAATTTATTCTTTATAAGCATGCTCTGCTCTCCCCCTCTTATGCCAAGTCTCAGCTTCACAGCTAGTTTGCATTTAATTGGTTATTACGCCTTGCTTCCAGATTGTAAAGACAGAAAGTTCTGTACGGCAAATGTTGGCCAACTGACAAGCGGCGGGGCGATCAGGAGGCGGCGCATGAGACCTGAGTTAGAAGACAAAAAAGAGAAAAATACATTCAACAGCAACAAAAGATTGAAAACAAAGTAAAATTAACTGAAATCTGAAAAAAAAACAAAAATTACTCAAAGTAAAGCTCAGTGCTTTGCTTTCTTGGATAATCGCTTGCGAGTCGATTGTCGTTACCGTTTGCTCGTATGGATGTTCTCAAGGTGCTTATCGTTAGCATTTATTTCGAGTGGAACTGGATGGTTAATGGCACGAAAGTACATTCTGCTTGCCAGTCTTGATTCTCACTGTTAGGTGTCGATCCGGGAATGCGTGCAGCTCTAAAATGAGGCTCAGGCCATGTACTCGATATCATGCTCTCGTCATCATAATTATGCCTCCAACGCGAGGAGGTGCTATTGTTCCTTGTCCATTTCCTGAGCGCGTTGCTTCTCTACCTGCAAGAGTGGCAATCCTTCTGCATGTTCCAAAGTGATCGAGATCCTTCAAGCGCGTTATTGCGAATGTTCAAACTCATAGTTATTAACCAATGACTCAATGCGTGTGTATGTTGTAGTTCAGCACCTGTTAGAAACTGAGGTCTACGAGATCTATAGGTCTTAAAAACCACAGCGTCCAGATTCACCAAGCTAGCTGGGAAGAGGGATCTGGCATTGAAGACCATCTTTATCTCAAAGAGTGTCTTAAGCAGTGTCCGGGCAAAAACTCGATTTTGAGATTTTGTGCTTATATGGGCCTATTCGCCATGCTGGATCCGAAAATCCACATTGGAAAGCGCGAAAACGGCGAAAAAGGGCTCTAACACAGGAGGGAAATCAGCAGGTGGGCGGGGCTTGCCCCAGTGCGATTTCACGCTCCCAGCTCCCGGAGCGATTTTCTCGATTCCGCTAGCCGTCCTAACATCGCTACCGGCCGAGTGCGAATGATTGACTTGAAACCGGAAGCGAGAAGGTCGCTCCGGAAGCCGGGAACGTGAATTCGCAGTGGGGAGGACCCCGCCCACCTGCTCATTTCCCTCCTGTGTTAGAGCCGCTTTTCGCCATTTTCGCGCTCTACAATGTGCATTTTCGGATTCAGCGTAGCGAATAGGCCCAAGTAAGCACAAAATCTCAAAATCGAGTTTTTGCCCGGACATTGCCTTTAAGAAGCCTGAGATCGGGAGTCTCCTTAGAGGCACCGTCCACCCTAAGTTGAGGGTATTGACCTTTTAGCATCATATAATAGTAGGGCCCCCCTATCAAGCCAATGCCCAAATCGCAGCGCAAAATGCCGCTTCAGAAGCGAGAAAATCGCTCCGGAATAGCGAAGATGCACGTGGACCCCATCCATGCCCGCCCACCTGTGCGTGTCCAGCCAATCACCGTTCAGGAAAGCCGGCCTGAGGGTTCTCCGGAAGGGGGATTAATGGGTTCTTCGCGGATTCTCGACTTCATATTCGGAATCAGGGACATGAGAAGGCCTCGGAACAATTAAAACATGGAAGTCGAGAATCTGGGTGGACAGTGCCTACTTACTTGCCTGCCTACTTAAGTACTGCTTTCTTCAGGCTACTCTTGGCAGATTCTATTAGGCGCTCGTTGAATCCTCCCTTCCATGGCGAGTAGAAAGAACTCCACCTGATGTTTCGGTCCACGGCAAGTCATTTCATTTAGAAATCTTCCCGTAGCTCCTGCACATCGTTGGCAATCTCCTTCCTTAGCTTAAATGTGGGTGCGATGTCACTAATCACGCTGTCGGGTTTTAAGGCTAGGATGAACTGAAGCGTTGAGTTGTCTTCAGGATAAACAAGGGTGTGGCACACGATCGTTGGTTACGACCCCCCCCCCCCCTGATTGCTGTCTTAATAAGACCCTCCCCCCTTTGTCCACCTCAGGAATCCCGCTTCAGAAGACTTCCAAACTGTGGAATTAGAAGCCAACCAAAATCTCGTTTTTCCCATTTTTCGCTTTTGATTGCTGTGCTTTCACCAAATATTACTCAGAGCTAAGAAGACGAATCATGCTCCAAACAGTCCTATGGAATCTACAAGAAGGTTTAGGCTATCGATTCATACATTCTTGTCGCCTTCCCTTGCGATTCACGTAGTGGCGCAGACTTAGCATGTTACCGTATCCCAATATTTTTCCAATATTTTACATTTGCATAGGTAAGGAAAAACGATTATATCTTGCTCTTGAGGAAAGGTTTTCATATGAAATTTCTGCTATGCAAAGAAGAAGGTTAAGCAGTAACAACTATATCAAAAAGGCAGCTGTTTGATCTGTTTGAAAGTAAGTTAATGGGATGCGGCACACCCCCTTGAAAGCGCGGCGGCCGCAGCTTTCAAGGGGGTGTGCCTTTCATTAACTATACCAAAAAAAACAATTTTAGCGGACAGTATTTATATGAATCGATAGCCTAAACCTTGTAGATTCCATAGGACTGTTTGGAGCATGATTCGTCTTCTTAGCTCTAAGTAATATTTGGTGAAAGCACAGCAATCAAAAGCGAAAAATGGGAAAAACGAGATTTTGATTGGCTTCTAATTCCACAGTTTGGAGGTCTTCTGCTTTGTCCTGAGTGCAAAATCGGATTGCTAATTCACCTTTGAAACAAAGTTAACCATGTTGGAATTTGACCATTTCACTTAGGTAGCTTAGTGTCTTGAATCTTCAGAATTCGCTCACACTTTGTCTACAGGGGTTATTTGACATGCTAATTATGGATAGGATACGAATATCATGTTATCACTCTTAAGACGACCCCCTCCCCTTTTGACTCCTCAATACGACCCCCAGGTGTGGCGTGCCGCACCCCACGCTTGACCCTGGTTGTCTTTCACTACCGGGAAGCGCGGGTAGACACGCAGGTAAAGAGGCACACCTACACTTTCTTCAGAGGTTTTTCCTGTATGCGCAACAACATGGGCCGAAATAGTTTAATCCGATGTGCTGAAACGGGCAATTCCGAGTGACTCTCCGTACTTTTGCTATCAAAAACCGCCACGACTCCGTCTCTGTGAAATGTGGAGCTGACGATATTTCAGGACGTTGGCGGTAATGCGAATCAGTTTATGGAGTTTGTACATCTGCATAACCTAAAGGACTTATGAGGCATCAGGAGGTTGTTGTTATCGCGACTTCCAATTTCGTTCTGACTTCTTCCCTTTAAGGTGCTGCTGTAGATGCGTCGAAGCCTCTGCGCCGCCAGTGTTATTGAAGTCGCGACAAAGGAAGATTATGCCACAATATGTGGTTTTCAAGCTCTACAGCTGTCAACCCACGGGATCCGTCATACTTCGCCGAAAAAAAGCCCAAAAAAGCCCGAAAAAACCCAGAAAACCCAAAAAGCCCGAAAGAGCCGAAACGCCCCATCCGTTTTGACGCTAAGGCTGTTGTGTTGACTTTGCAATCTAGTCTTTCTGCTTCATTTTCTGTCGTCTGCACATCAAACTAATGTCAGAATTCTACCAAAAGTTCGTTTCTGCGTTCCGGCTCTTTCGAGCTTTCTCCGGCTTTTTTGGGCTTTTTCGGGCTTTCTGGACTTTTTTGAACGCTTTGGCCTTTTTTCGGCGAAGTATGACGGGTACCCACGGATTGCCGAATATAGCTAACACAAAAGTTTAGATACGTGCATCTACCCTAAAATCCGTGCAATAAGTCCGCCTATCAGATAAGTTCACCTATCAGATAAGTCCGCTTTCTTGACAACCTTGCGCCGCCAAGAGTCCTGCTGATAAGTCCGCTTTTTTTTTCAGATGAAAACAAGAAGGATGCGCAATTGCGCCGCCTTTTTTGGTCTCAAAATGAATCAAAGCAACAGATCTTTATTTAGGTCCCATTCCATGTTCATCATTATCAAAAACGTGGCTGACAACGCTGGTTCTTTGTCTAACGACTAAATTCTTTTTCTTCATAAATGATTTGCACCCCGACGCCAATGCCTTGAAGTACTGCCGGCCAGATTCCTGAGCTGCAATGCCTTCGCTCGAATGTCCTTGACAAGCACTCCTCTGCTTGCTTCTCGCCTCTGCACAATCCATGCATAGACAGCTTCCTCGATTTCCTCTACCTTTTGCTTCCCATAACGGTTGGCGCGTTTCCTCAGTGGCATATCCTCCAAATTCTCCTTATCGGCCTTCCATCTTCGAATCAGACGTGCAGAGACTTCGCAATGAGGAGCTGCAGCCGATGTTCCATGTTCCAAGGCATATTTTATAGCGTTAAGCTTGAAAAGCGTGGTATAGGACTTCCTTCTGGTAGCCATTGAGATCCGAGACACCTGAACAGCTTGAGTCACAGCATTTGAGACTATGACGGAAATATAGGGCTCTGCGTGATTGCAAACTTCGCTGAGTTAGCGGCGCGGAGTCCTATAAATTTGCGCTGATCATCGAAAGGTTTACTCTTTTACAAAAAAAAGCAGGCGGCACCAAATGTGTCTACTCTGTCTTTTGTTTTGAAAGTACTAGCTGAATGAAACAAGAATTGAGAAAAAGAACAAAGAAGCCTGATGCTTTGCCAGGGTTGAGCGTTTTTAGACTGTCACTCTTCCGTTCATTAAAGCATTTGACAAAAGCCGTAGTGAAAAAACAAAGCATTTGACAAAAGCCGTATGGCGTGGGTCAACAGAGACTACGTTTAGACCATGTAAACAATAAAGGAAGCAAAAGGTATAGGCAGTCAGGTTTTGATTGAAGGGTTGTAGCCTGTACAGGTTCAAGCGATGTGTTGAGAACACTGTCGCTTTCGAAATGAATGCTACCGATGATAAGTTGAGATGATTACAATGGTACAACAATGATACCTATTATGATTCTTTTCATCGGCAGAAATCGCTCAGTTTCCTACAAGTGTCATATCTAGGAAAAGAACACACCTATCCAGCGTACGCGATGATGAATCTGCGACGATACTGCCAGCAAGTAGACTGTACGACTTGTCGAATCCTTGGGCTCTTTCTTTCAGGCGATATCGCGGTCTTGTTTAAATCTACACCGGCAACTACGCGGGCGGTCTCGCGTATCTATGTTCCTAGGTCGCGCTTGCTCATGCTCAGGACAGGCGGACTTATCTGATAGAGGATGTAGGAGGACTTATCTGCAAGACTTTTGGCGGCGCAGAGGGCAATTTTTCATCGATCTTTCGTGTCAAAACTGCACATAAGTCCGGACTTATTGTACGGATTTTAGGGTAATACATGACTATTCATTTAAAAATCCGTAAATTTCTGATGGAATGTAAAAGGTCTTCAACTGACTTCTCAACAAGATAATAAATAAGAGAACCTATCTTATGGTGCAAGACTTTTTATTTCATCTAACTTCAGTGCTATTATCAGAGGACATGGCTTCGGGGTTATCGTGAAAAAGGTTCAGAAACAAACACAATCTTCGGACTCTTTTTTAATACGCATAATCAAAACACGGAACGAAGTTCTCATAACGGCGTTTAAAGCTACATCACATTTGTGTTCAACACAAAAGTTTAAAAGACCTTGAAATCTGTATGATTTTTTCAAAGGCCTCTGCAGTACAATGCAACAAACAACCCAATCAGATCATTACAGCGCAGTACATACATGATTTTCGGATCAGCATTCAATTTGCATTTGGTCTTAATACCGAATCTTCAGATGAATATCTCAAAACGCCACCTAATTACCATTTAGCGTCTATATACATTTTCTGTGTATTTTCTTTTATTTAGGAGCTCATGTCTTATTTTCTTTTCGTACACATAAGAATCTATTTATGGCGATTAACTTCTCTTATTGTCTTGATCCTGCCGATAAAAATTTTCAGTGGGCTTAAGTCAGCTAGATTTTGGCCAAGCTCGACATATGAACAGTGAGAAATACAAGAATTTGAAAGCATCAGGGTTTTTTATGTCGGTTGTCTAATTCCAAATTGTATCCATGTTATGAGTTTTTTCTTGAAATCGGCTGTTTATGTAAATAAATAAATAAATAGGTGGTCTTGCAGCTCCTTTCACTCCAGGTGTATCTTGGTCCTGCGGAACGCTTTTTCTACAATCATTTGACATGAGTTTCGTCCTGAGCTGTGATTCTGACGTCTAAAGGTTGAGCCAGCGTTCAAGCGTACACCACGTACGCAGTGTATGCTTGGTAGGTTTCAACATAGCAGTGTCTTGGCAAGCTTGGAATGTCCTTACCTGTATAAACATGAAAAGCCCCATCTTGCAGATATCCGTGCACTTGTTTTCCATTTGCATAGGTAAGGAAAAAACGGCTATTCTATCTCTAGAAGAAACAATTTGAATGAGAGCCCTACTCTGTGGAGAAGAAGGTTTAGCAGTGGAAACTATATTAAAAAACAGAAATTTGAATGCTTTGAAGGTAAGTTAATGGGGTGTGGCATAATCCCTAAAAAGTTGTGGCAGCCACAGCTTTTCTGGGGTTGTCCACACCCCACTAACTCACCTCCAATAAGAATTTTAGCGGGCATAATACATACAGTTCGATAGCGATCCCGTAGTTTTCGCTAAGCATTTGGGTTCGTCTTCTTTGCTCTAAGTAAAAGTTGGTGAAAGCCTAGCCCTTAAGTGCGAAGAATGGGACAAAACAAGTTTTTGGCTTTCGTCTAATTTGATAGTGTGATGTTTATTTGAAGCAGGACATAGTACGGGTGAATGGGAGTAGAGTGTACTTTATATTGGGTACAACAAAAGTTAGCCAATTCAATTTGAAGTATAGTTCATACCTTCGATAGTCAAGAGACAGATCCTAGAAAGTGATAGTTGTTTGAGTTTCTGTTACCTGTAAGAAGTGAAGGTTGTTTCAGAAGAAAGATGGAAATTTAGAGATATGAATTAAAGCAGGAAAACTTGAAAATTTAAAACAGAAGTTAGCACATCACCAAGTTTGAAACCTTAACTTGGTGGTTTTCTACGCATAGTTTCTTCTTCAGAATTGCCAGTTAAGTTGGGTGGCAACAAGAACAAAGTTCTTTTCCAATTAAAAAGCGCTGTTTAGCTGTGGCGGTAGTTGAGAAACCGAAAGAAGGGAAACTTGTCAATAGCCGAATTGAACATGTTGAACACGTCTGAAAAGATATGTTGCACATCGACGCCAATCTGATTTTTGACGCGTCCTTTAAATTTTCACCCCCGCATAGTCGCCTTCGTATCCTGCGACGTTGTCTGGATTCTTCCGCTCATCATTCTGAGCAAGTATCATGCAAGCTGGAGAAAATTCGTTGCGAAAGCACTGAAAGAGGACAAGGTAAAGAAAAACGCACTTTTTAGTAATTTTCGCACAAAAAACCGGCATAAGCAAAGAAGCAAGCTCGGCGACGTTATCTACATCATAGACAGAAACAAGACCTATCGAATGCACAAAAATACCGAGTGAAAAGAGTTAAACTGAAGAAAAAACAAGAGGTTTTCGCAAACGCCGTTTTTTCCAGATTTCTCGTTTAAGTCATAAAAAGAAGTCTGGCGACGTTGTCAGCGTAAATTAGAGATCAAGAGCTTCAATATGATATGTAGATTGTAGTAATTGGGCTCTGAACAACGAAGAAAAGGGTACCAGAGCCAGATGCCCCGCGCCCCGCATTTGAGGTAGCGAGGTAGCGCGCAACGCGTGGAGGCGCAGACTAGCAGCGGAGACAGACCAGAGCCGACGGGGCATTTGGCTCTGGTCATTGATCTCCGCGGGGTCATAACGAAACCCTACGACATTATATATCGTTGTGATCCTCATGAGATGGCCAGGAGCACTGACAACGTCGCGGGTCTTGAAAATCACTCCATAACGAGATAGACCAGCATTTATGTGGCGACTCTCTGCGGAAGATTTCAGCGCAGTCTCGTTTTTATTAAACTCCAGCGGCTTTCACGAACTCTCAGCGCTCAATCGCAGTCTAAAGAGAGGTTAATCGAGAAATTTTGTCCTAATTTCAAATTGAATTTTCAAAAAATCTTTTCAGCAAAAAGCCCACAAAAACGCAATCCTTTGGGGGTTTTTTAAGCTTTTTTTTGGATGTCACTACTATATTGGTTATGTCATTAGTTATGTAATAATATCCGGGGCTTCTTTCCGAATGACTTCTGTACTTCTCTCCAGGTGAAGGTTGTTTTCTATTATGACGCTCAAAGTGAAAGTTACCAGAGTACATGGCTCTATGTATCGAAGGTATGGTATAGTTAATCATGTTTGAAAATGACCGCTTCACTTGGGTGGCCTAATATTGGGAACTCCTAGAATTTGTCACAAATTGGCCCACAGGGTTTATTTGACATAATAATTACGGCTACGATACTATGCTCGGTGGAGCCTTCATGTCGTACCCACGGAAAGTAAACAATAATGCTGGTGGCAGGGGGGGGGGAGGAGGGTCGTTGTTCCGGCGGTTGTGTACCACACCTCCTCGACCCTGCTTCTTAACTCGTTCCTACTGGACGAATATTCTTCATGTCCATTCTACATTCAATAGAAATGCATATATGACCATGTCACGCTAGTTAAAAATTGAAGTGTACAAAAGCGCTATGCTCAAGTTTTATAGAAGTCGGAATACGCCGAATTCAACTCTTTAGATGAAAAGCATTCACTCATGTTTTCAGCATTGGAACAGGCACAGTTTTCAAGCAATTCGGTTCCATCGGATTGCGGTGCAGAATATAGTATGTTCCTGGACCCACGGGTCCGTAAATGATAGGCCCAATTCCAAACAGATAGCACCAGTTCTGAAAGTTCATGTAAGTAATACAAGCTGTAATACATCGGTTCCTGAGCACTGCAATTGAAGTAGAACGCACGAAATGAAATAAATACAATATTAAACAGCCCTTTTTGTGAAGAATAATATCAAGGAATTTACTTGCCGGACGTAATCAAATTTCTCTTCAAAAAAACTTAATCTTCTTGAAATTCTGATGAAGTTAACTTTAAAGTTCAAGATTACGGATCTGGAGGCAGGCGCAGCAAAGTTTTTTTTCTTAAAATTTTTTGAAATAAACCATCTATGAAAAAGAGTCTAACACTTGCATGTTTTAGAATGTAAACTGCTAAAGCATTTTCGTTTGCAGCTTAGCACTTTTGGTAAAACAAGTCAGAAAAAGTTCATTTTTACAAAAAGCACTGAGTAAACAGCTTACATTCGTAAGATAGAGGACCGCGTTGCAGTCCTTGTATCTCAAACATTCAGCGTAACACTGCTCTTCCCGGTCTTCGAAGGAAATAAGCTCTCTGGCACCCCATAGAATCTTGGTTTCCGTGAAAGTACACGGTGAAGCACAAATCGTCTGTAAGCTTGTTATTAGCACTGTCCAAGTACAAAACAGTTATAGCTGCAAGAAACTTCATAAAGCAGAACCTTATCTTTGAACTGTCAATTTACGCCGAATAGTCTGCCCGTTTGCTTTTGATAAACATTGTCAGACTTTGAAAGGTAATTAGCTAATTTTTTTCAGCTAATTTTTTACATTGTTTCAGTGCACCACCTATCTTTTCATCTTTTTTATCTATATGATAAAGCTGAATGTCTGTTTGTTTGTATGCCTGTCTGTCTGTTTGTACGTATGTTCCAAAAAATTTTCATTTATGAACCGGAATTGGCAACATACACATCGGGGCGGGGCGGGCGTCACAGCCTACTTCTCGTCATCGATCGATTGATTTTTTCGAATTTTGCTAATAAGTTTGAGCTACGGGTCTGGGAAATGGCCCGGGAGGGGGGGGGTAGGGGTAAGTGAGCGCGCTGATTACGAATATACAGAGTGTCCCAAAAAATGTACCATTTGATTCAACTGGATTGGCTCCGGCAAAGGCGGGGCTTCATGACCTAATTAAGGCTAGGTAATGATCAGAGAGCACTCGCGCGAGAGAGACGCAGATGAGTCGCGGGCGCGAGCGGCCTCAGTTAGATCACAAAACCCCGCCCTAATGGACCCAGGCCAGTTGAATCAGAGGTTATACACTGTTTGATCGTTGATATCTGTCTTCCCAAGGAGTCGTTTACCTACCTTATGGTACCATTTTGTAGAGCTGGCTTTAACTTAGATTTGCAGTATACAGCGAACCACCGATCGCTCTTCGCTGTAGGTTAGTAAAAGGTATTATGGTATGGCTGTAGGAACTTTTGGCTTACAACGTTGGATTAGTTGTGTTTCAAAAAAAGTGCCCAAAAATTCTGAAAAGGGTGTACCAAGGTTCTTGCGTTTGCTGATTTCATTACTCAACTTTCTAGAAGTTTGTAAACCTTTTCAAACTTCAAGACGTGTGATTGCAATTTTAAGGAGCATTTAAAAAAGAGCTGTAACGGTTTACCAAGCATAAGTCATGAGGGAAGCATCACGGTCAAATGCAAAGTCCATATTGGTTTTAGCGACTTTAATTACCCTAGTGTAAGATTTCCAGGTTGTTTGGTTTGCTTCTTAGAGCGAAATAAGGCCCTCAATGGCTCAAAATGTTTCTTGAAGTTCCACCGTAATCCTACAGTAGTAAACGAAAATAGTTGATTCGCTCCATACTGTAAGTCTAACAAGGGAAGTACTTTCAATGGCCGTGGCCTTTTGATATGAGATGCATACCATCTGAAGCAGCTTCGAACGCTGATTTCAAATAAGCTTTCCTTTTCTGCGGAGCGCTCTTCTGAAGAGAGTTATGGAAGCCTATATCCTGTTTTGGGGCACTCCTTGAGTTGAGGACGCTGCTATGTGCGTTGGTGGTGCAGTGAGGTAATGGTTGATTGTTGGCATTAAAGGCGAAAGGTCGATGGTCGAATCCGGTTAGGTTGAATTCATTTGAAAGGTTTTGAATTCATTTGAAACGCCACTCCAATAATGGTCCCCTAGTAACTTAATGGGTACTTGCGAGCATGAGAATTGCGCAGAAATTTTTTCATACGCTGTTCCCGTTGCGAGAAATGTCTGTGTTTTGCTCACTTAGTAATTTCGCTTCACTTATGTACATGAATTTTTGTGGAGAAAACCAAATCTCAACAAGCAAGCGGTTTTGCCAAAAAAATTTTTCCTCAAGTCAGATCTGCTAAGGTCGTTACAGTAACTGTCTGCAGACGAATTAGAGTGGTTTTTAAACTCACATTCAGCAAAACGGCACGCTCTGCACTAAATTCGAACCATCGGTCTTTCGCCTTCAATGCCAACAACTAATCATTACACCACTGTACCACCAATGCACATAGCAGCGCTCTCTGCTTTAAGGATCGGCCCCAAAGTAGGATATTCAGGCTTCCACTCTCTTCAGAAGAGCGCTCCGCAGAAAAGCAAAGCAGATTTAGAATCTGCGTTCGAAGCTGCTTCAGATAATATGCATCCCATATCAAAAGGCCACGGCCATTGAAAGTACCTTCCTCGTAAGTTGAAGCCTGCTCTATAAAATGGTACATGAAGGCAGGCAAAAAACTTCTAGAGAGAGATATTAACGATCAAACAGTGTGGTGTACAGGGCTCCTAAATTGCAGAGTCGTTTGCACCAGCGGTCGCGCGACCGCGTCGCGCCCGGGCATTTTGCCGGCGATGGCGCCATCGATCGGGGCGGCGCCATTGATGCCCAGGCGCGACGCGGTCGCGCGACCGCTCGTGCAAACGACTCTGCAATTTGGGAGCCCTGTACATACTTCTGAGACACCCTGTATATTACTTACCCAGCTTCGCGCGGCCCTGTCAAACCCCTTTGATAAAGAAGCCCACCCCTATCCCTATACAACTTTTCCCTCTACTCACTCTACATACCAATTATCTATTCCCGTTTTGTTTTCAAAATGATCAGCATGCCCACTTACCTCCTAAGCCAACTTCCAGCCCCGTGACTCACACTTTGCAAAAAATCGATAAATTCGAATATAATCAGGTTTTTGAAAACTATTACTATATTCGTCATCAGCATGTCTCCTCCCCTCGTGCCAACTCCCAGTCCCGTAGGTAGAACTTTGCAAAAGAAAAATCGATAGAATCTATATCGATTGATGGCGAAAAGTAGCCTACGACAGCTCCGTCCTAGAATGTATGTGTGCAAAGTTTGGTCCGGATCGGTTTAGAAATAAAATTTTCTATTCAAAACATACGTACACGTACAGACAGACAGTACAGACATACATGCAGACAAACAGACTTTCAGGGTTATATACAAGATGGGGCCGGGCGGAGTTGGGTTTGCCAGCTAGTACTCGTTGAAGTTGATAAAATCCTAGACTGAGTACGATTGAAAAGCAAAATGTAAAACAAGCATTATTGGCCAATGAATGTAACATCGCTAAAACACCGTAACCTCTTTGTTCCTTCCTTCAGGGGCTTTGTTCTGACAGCCACACAATCACGGGCTGGCATCAATGTGGTGAATATACTTAGACATTCTGTCGGGAAAAAACAAAGGAGAGATGATAGAGGTGCGTACAGAATCCGAACCATATTACGTAGGTGCAATTGTAAGACGGCTTTTAAAGGCGAGCTATGGAATGAAAGATGTCAACAAAGGATGCTGCAAATCTTTACATTTGATGTTTGCTACAGAATGATGGGAAGTCATATCGTTTAGGCAAGATTTACGATTCTTTACAGAAAGTGCTAAGGGTTGTTTCACAATGCCGCACGGACCGCAGCAGACTGCAGCTGACTGCACTGACCGCATCAGCCGCACAGATCGCTGCATCCTTTCGTAGAAGAGAAACCAATTGCCTATGAACGGAAACAACAACGTCAGGTTAATAGCGGAAGCGCGTTTCAGTTGAATTTAGTGTAGTTGACTTGCAAGAAAATTCGTAAGCTTCCAGTTATAAACGAGAACCAGTTCTGGGTGCGTCACAACCTTGCATTGAGAAGTATCCACTACGATTTGGACCGTTATGAAATTTATGAAGTGATGAAAGCTTGTGATGAAACTTTGCACTGCTAAGGGAGTTAATTTTACATACTTGTGAGCGATGTTGGATATTTATAGACATTCATTTATCAGGTTGTCGAATAATTTCTGTTGCACTTTTATAATTTTTGAATCTAAGAAATTTTCAAATATTCTTATGTTCAAGGAGTGCTGACGGGCGTCCCATCTGTAGTCCATGCGCAAAACCCAATTTATTGGTGGGAGAGGTTTTGTGAACATTTTTGTCAATGGGCTGGCATTCTTCCAGGTGACTGGGCGATGTGTAAGTGGTAATCGGGCAAGGTATGGTCCATAGTCTTTAACGATGTCCGCACACAATCCCATGACCTATCATTCAATCTACGACTAAGAGACGCGAGACCGCCTTGCACACCTTGTCTCAACAAACCTAGTATATTTAACAGAATTTATTATCTCGTCCAGGTTCATCCACTCTATGGAAACAGAAAAGAACAAACTCAAACTTATTAAGACAATGTCCGCAATGCGGTCTCGCGTCTTTTAGTCATAGAATAGACGGTACATGTTGCGCCATGTCAGATTACATTCGCACTTTATCATGGAAAACAATTCTTGAAATTTTTACAAAAATCATCATCGGCCTCTCCATATCAAATTCTACACGGCACACTAGAATGAAAATTTTCGACGAATTCTTATTTTTTTATTCACTTTTCACCCCTCGTTCTTGACATACTAGCGGCATCAAAGTGCCCCCTTAAAGATGCGATGCGAAAACATGCTTCGAGAAAATTATAGGAGAGAATATAATCAGACGCAGGAAAATAAATGAAAGAAAAAATGACAATTTTGAGTGTGCTTATAAAGTCGTATACTTTCAGTCTTTCAGTGTTGTGTACGCCCTGCTGTGCCTTACAATCATATCAAGCAAACTAGCTTGCTTACCCGGCTCCGCTCGGGCCTGACAAAACACTGTAATAAAGGTCCCATCCCTATCCCTGCACAGCCTTTCCCTGTGCCCACTTCTACGCTTCATTTCCGGTTCCCTGTGTTGTTTTCGAAATCAGCATGCCCACTTACCCCATGTGCCAACTCCCCAGCCGTGTAGCTCAAAGTTTGCAAGAAATCGATAAAATCGATAAAAGTAATGGACGATTTTGAAAACTAATACTGTATTCGTAATCAGCATGCTCGATTACCCCCTGTGCCAACTCTCAGCCCCGTAGCTCAAACTTTGCAAAAAATCGATAAAATCGATAAAAGTAATCGATAATCCTGGAAACTAATATTGTATTCGGAATCCCCATGCTCGATTAGCTCCCTGTGCCAACTCCCAGCCCCGTAGGTGAACTCTACAAAAAAATCGATAAAAATCGATAAAATCGATATCGATCGATGACGAAAAGTAGCCTATGACACCCGCCGGGGCCCGAAGTGTATG